AGGGCTAATTGTACCATATGAATGGCTGAGGAAGGGTCAAGGGAGTGAGATGACAAAATATGTATATGATGTCATTCATATACATGCTGTAACCTAATTACTTGTGCCAGGATATTTGGATATTATGGCATTTATATGATTTATCATTGTGTTAATGTGATTCGGGTGTCATTATGGTTAGTAACAGGTGCAACTGGTACACTGGTCTTATACTTATTTTTCTGTGATCATAAGAATCTTTAATGTGATAAATTAAAAACTTGTCTTTTGAAGTTAAATATCATTATTGCATGTTTTAGTGAAATGGTACTTAAAGTATGCACTAAAAAGATTGAGAGATTCTTGAAAGAAACACAAAATAATTTTTCATCTTTCATTCATATGGAGGGAGGGATTTGTATCATATTTATGGAAGCTTTGTTTCTGGGTTGCGTGGGTAAACTTATCCAGCCTCTAAGTATTCTCCGTTTCATAACCTCCCCCGCACAAAACCTCCTTTTTAAAAATTTACTTCTCAAAAGATTTTAGGACACTCCTCTAGTATAGTAAAAATGTGCCATTATAAAGGTTCCTAATATCTTAAAAGCAGTTAACAAACAATTTCCAAAAGTGATTAAGAAATCTTGTGTCCTTTTGTAGGTGCTAAACCACACTGGTATTATCTCATCTCCCAGAGCTTTAAACCCACAGGAGTCCACTGTTTTGTGATCTCCTCATGAGAAGCAAGTGTCTGGAGCACTTGTGGGTGATCCAAGTCCACTCCTTCTCCAGAGAAAAATTGTGAAGAGTCAGTCCATTCACCGACTCTTCATGCCACTGTGGTTGTCAGCTTCCCCCTCAACGGAACTATCCTCAGTTTGCCATTTCTTCCTTGGAAGTTCCAGAATTAAAGTTACTTTTCATAGTCCTAAATGTAGATTGCTTTGATGCAAATACACCACGTTTAAAAATATTATTTGGATGGAAATGCATATTCTAATGCTATTTTCTGCAATCATTTATTTCTTTTGTTATGACACTGTAAAACTTCATGGAGACGAAAGTTTTAATGTTTATACTTAACTTCCATTTGCTGAACCTAAAATGTTATGTTTATGACTATTATCTTAAAGGAAAATAAAAACATAAGGGACAAAACCTATATTGTGAAACTGGGAAAGAGTGAAGACCAGTCTGTTCCTGATACTAATTATGAAGAAAGAAATGAACCAGGCCAGGTATCAGCACTTTTGGTTTTGATACAACCTTTTCATTTGGTTCATTGTAGTGTCTTCATTAAAGGGAGGAACTCTATTTTTGTTTGACTAAAATAAAAGTACAAATAAGAGATCTTATTGCAATTTCCACCAAACATATTCGTGTTTAATCTTTCTTTTAATAGAAGAGTGCAAATTTAAGTTTTGAGTTAGCAGCTTTTTCTGTCTATCCGCCCGTCCGTCCATCCATCCATCCATCCATCCATCCATCCATCCATCCATCCATCCATCCATCCATCCCTCCAAGCTAAATGCAAAATGGTAGCTTACATTTGGAACTATTTATCTAAAATATTGCATGTGGCATATCCTGGGATAACTTGAATATACAAATCTACATCAAAATTAACACAGATTAACAAGTCTAACAGACTCAGAAATAATTGTTTAAAAAATGGTGGTTGAAAACAAACACCTTCCATCTACAGCAAATTAATTGGAAATCTACTAGAATAGTGTTGTGTCTTTCTGAGCGAGGGGTGACCTTGGAGCCTGTCTAGGGCTTTGAACACGTGGCCTGATGACCTGATGCCACAAGACTGGGCAGGTTAAGGCTGGATTCTTTTTCCCCCTACTTTTGAGGTTGGAGATTAAAGAGTAAAATTAATCTCTTAATCCTTGTAGATTAAGCTTGTTTGTTTAATCAAACTTGCTTGTTGAAGCCTTGGGGGGAAGAGTTCAGGTTTTTGGGGTTGCTGTGGTTGATGAAGCCACCGCAAAGCCGAAGGCACATATTTTATCCCTTAAACATCTGATCACCTGAAACAAGTTTCAAAAATATAAACTCTTGTGTAGGAGGCTTCTGGTGCGATGCGTGTAATATTAGGCCATCACATCTATCACACTGCCCATTCTTGTAGTAGTAAATCCTGATTTATGCTCTATCACCCTGGACTAAAGTATTTTTAAATGATTCTGTAGAACAGTTTAACATTCATAAAAGATCCCTTCTGCCCCCCAACTATGGGTCTCGTTATTGTTTTTAGTTGCCTATTAATGTATCTTTTTAGTGCAAATAGTGATGCACAATTTGCTTTTTTCCTCTCCTCTTCTCTCCCCAGGACATGGAACAAAACCTGAAACAAATTGGTCTGCAGAGATGGCAGGAGAAGAACAATCCAGAAGTACAACGGAAAGCAAAGGTTCAGTTTATATCTATACCTTATCTATATAATAATAATGCCACCTTTGTATTATATCATTTCAACTGGAATATTAGTATCAGTATCTCTAAACTTAAAAGAATGAAAAACAAGGGGTCTTTTTCTTTCATTTTGCTATAATGGACATCTCAGCAAAATAAAGGAGAGAAATCCTTTGTCCCTTTTACTTAATTTATGTCTTTCCTCTTCCTCAGAGGGAGAAAAGTGATTGTGCATTTTTATGCTGCTACATTCAATAGCACAAGAGGGATAATCATAATCATATCTCTTCTCTTCTCTTCTCTTCTCTCTCTCTGTCTCTCCTCTTTCTTTCTCTCTCTGCACTAACTTATATTCTAGCTATGAATTTTCTATGGCAGCTGCTACATATTTTTGCATTTTATTTTTCAGGGAGGTGTAAAGTTTCAGATTGATCTAATAGATGATGCAGCATAAATATGAGCCAGATGCCAAGCATCTGAATTTTGATCACACATGATCATGGAAATGCTGCAAAACTGTAACTGCGAAAACAATCATAAGTCTCATATTTCAGTGCCGTTGTAACTTTGAACGGTCACTAAACAAACTCTTGTAAGTCAAGGACTACCTGTATTTGCAATTAATGAATTTTCTATGGCAGCTGTTACATATTTTTGCATTTTATTTTTCAGAGAGGGGTAAAGTTTCAGATTGATCTAACAGAAGATGCAGCAGATGAGAAAAACATCCCGGAAGAAAATGAGGTATAATTCTGGACCATAGTTATGCAGGCAGTCCTCGACTTATGACCACAATTGAGCCTGGAATTTCTATTGTTAAGTGAGACATTTGTTAAGTGAGTTTCAGCCCATCTTAGACTAGAATATCTTTATTGTCACTGTGTAACTCACAACGAAATTAAGTAATTTTGAAATTAATTTTACGAGCTTTCTTGGCGCAGTTGTTAAGTGAATCACTGTAGTTGATATGTAGGTAACCCAGTTGTTAAATGAATCTGGATTTCCCATTGACTTTGTTTGTCGAGATCGCAAAAAAGTGATCACATGACCTTGGGACACAGCAACAGTCATAAATATGAGCCAGTTGCCAAGCATCTGAATTTTGATCACGCATGATCATGGAAATGCTGCAAAACTGTAACTGCGAAAACAATCATAAATCTCATTTTTTGGTGCCATTGTAACTTTGAACGATCACTAAACAAACTCTTGTAAGTTGAGGACTACCTGTATTTGCAATTAATGATAAAATTGTAAACGACCACCCATTTGTGCATGGAGACTCCCTGCTTATGTAAAGAGTACGTGTTAAAACAAGGTGAGTGTTCCACAATGTTCTCTTTTTTAGAAACTTTGAGGGTACACAGTATGGAACTTCCTACCTCATTGTTTGAAAAAGTCTTCAGATATCACAGCTATGGAATGTACCCTGAGCTGGAAAATAAACAAGTGCTGCCATCAAAATAGGCTCCCAGTATCTTTATACTGAATCGCTTTGTTCTTGTGTATAAGTGTGAAATTGACACCATTTCTACAGACAAGCTGACACATTAAAAACATAGATAATCAGAGTTGTACGGCATTTCAGATCTGAAGGTGTGCAAAAGTAGTACCTGTTTGCAATTTCTTAAAGTGATCTTGCCTTTTCCCACAGCTACGCAATCCCAGAAAAAGATATGTATAGTTTACGGAGCTACTACAGACGCTAAGTGCCGGCACATTCTGAAGTACTATTTTGCTTCTGAATCTGAAGCACTGTCTCACCCTTTGTTTATTGAGTGAATTTACTTAAACAAATAAATTGGGGGAGTTTTATCTTGAAAGATGGGATTGCTTAAGTTCATTTTTCTTATATATATAAAGACATCTTTCTCAGCTACATCAGCTGTCAGTATTTTTTCTCTTCGTCCAGATTTTCCAATCTTCATTCCTACTAATTTTTATATACCAATAGGAGAAGATGTTACCATCAATATTCCTCTGCCACAATCTCTTATTGCTGCATCTGACTTTTAGAAAAAAATTATGTTTCGAGAGCTAGATGTTGAAGTTTCCCTCTGGCCAGACTTTTGCTTGACTCCTGGTTCTGCTCTTTATGTATAGCTTTGTTACAGCCTTTAAACATGGTGTTCTGTATATCGTCTGCCACTAATATCTGTCTTTAGCTCTTCTTAGCAAAGTTCTCCAAGTAAAAGGCTTACTTTTTCCTCAGATTTGTTTCACTTATTTTTGTTACCAACTGAACTCCTGATATTTAATTTTCATTTGTAACATCTCTGCCATAGCAATTATAAGCAAAGCAACCACAACTGATTTAATACTACTATTACTACTACTAATAATAATAAAGTTGGAAGGGACCTTGGAGGTCATCTAGTCCAACCCCCTGCTCAGGCAGGAAACCCTATACCATTTCGGACAAATGGCTGTCCAGTCTCTTCTTAAAATCTTCCAGTGTTGGAGCATTCAACCGCTTCTGGAGGCAGGTTGTTCCACTGGTTAATTGTTCTAATTGTCCATCTGGTCCTGGTGATTTGAACTCGTCTAGGCTGGACAGGTGCTCACTTACCATTTTCTTGCCTATCTTAACTTGTGTTTCTATTCTGTTTTTTATGGCACTATTTGAGTACAAATATAAAAAAGCCTATGTAGTTACTAGGGCTCTGCAGTGACTAGGAGTCAAAGAGGGAGCATTGTGTTGGATTTAAGGAGGATAATATTAATTAATTTGTTTGTTTGTTTGTTTGTTTGTTTGTTTATTTATTTGTTTGTTCGTTCATTCATTTATTCATTCATTCATTGAAGTTATTTGCTACCTATCTCACCTCAAGGCAACTTTGGGTGGCTTATAACATCAAAAGCAATAAAACTGTAACAATAAGAAAACAAAATTATAATTAAAAGAATACACAATTATAATTAAAAGATGGGAGGGGAAGGAAGCAAGATGCGCGGGGGGGATGTGGGATTTATTGTTAGTCTATATTCATCTTGTCATCTTTCAGTATGAACTACCTTTTCCTTTTTTAGTCTAGGTTGGTGCAGTGCCTTATTAGTTACTTTGGAACCTCATGGAGAACATTCACAGAATATTTAAAAAAAAACCACAAACATACAATAAAATAAAGTATTACTACACAAACCTCTTTAGTTACTCCATATGATACCATAAGTTACGATAAATAGAGCATCTGTCACACAGAAAATGTGTAGATTGGCACATATAAAATCCTGAGTCAGGTTACGATTTCTGCCTTTCTAAAAGAGATTCTCAAGTGATTGACAGAAAGTATGTCATTCCCTCTATGAAATGTCTTCTCGTTAAAATTTGAAGAGAGATTATGTGCTGTTTAAGTGAAATGTCTCATTGAAAAGCATATAATAGATGATATTCAATAATTCAATTTGTCTGGTTTTGATATTGCAGTGCTTTTGCTTCAAAAAAAAAAGAACGTAAGTTAATTTTTCAAAACTGACTTTTGTGTGTGTTGGATTTCAGCAGCATGATAAACTTAATGAAACACTGACTTTTGAACATGGAGAAAACCTTAAGAAAAAACTGGCAAACTATGAGGAAGAATTACGGCACTGGAAGATGGGTATGCTTCTTGAAATCATTAACATTGTTACCTGTCAGATAAAATCCCTGGGATCTACTCACAGTTAGATTCCGGCTATGCTGGTTTTCAGTACATGACTGGGGCCCAGTCTTATTTGATTATTTGGGCTTGGTTTGCTTGTTTGTTTGAGAACATTTATATAGCTGCCTATTCGCTCACAGCGATTCTAGGCAGCTAACAAACAGTAAAAAAAAAATATAAACTAGAAAAAAAATTAAAAAGATAAAAAACAATAATCCCCCATCCTAGTTCCTGAGGAAGAGGACAGGATCCTTGGGGTATTGCATCTTTCCATCTATATGTTAGATCCATGTCCCTCCTAGTACAGTGATGGCGAACCTTTTAGAGACCGAGTGCCCAAACTGCAACCCAAAACCCACTTATGCATCATCGGGTGCCGGGTGGGTGTGGCCCATTGGCTGGGTGTGGCTAATTGGGGTGTGGCCCATTGGGTGGGCGTGGCTGCAGTGGTAAGGGCAGACTGGGTGGGACTAAAATGTTCAATCAATCCATTCCAACTTTGCAAGATCTTTTTTTTTTCCCGCGAGAAGTTGAAATTGGCTGATTGAACCTTTTTTTTTTTTTTTGCACACAGCAGTGGAGGCCTAAAGCGAAAAGGTTTTATAAAACCCAACTGAGGGCCTAGGACTGGGGCATGGGCGTGCGTGCCCACAGAGAGGGCTCTGAGTGCCGCCTCTGGCACCCGTGCCATTGGTTCGCCACCACTGTCCTAGTAGGTCCTAGCTACCCAGGAAGTTTTATGTAGCTGGTTTCAAGCAGTGGCAAATAGGTCTTTGCAGGAGGGTGTGATTCCTCTGGCCTTGAAGGATGCTGTGGTCTGTCTGTTCCTTAAGAAGCCATTGCTGGACCCAGCTGTATTGGACGGTTTTCTGGGGAGGGTTGCTGGGAAGGAGATTGGCCTGGTGGTTACCTTAAAAGCCCTGCATTCCGTGGGACCAGGTTACTTGTGGGATTGCCTGTACCTGACGGTTTCTGCCTCCATTCCTATGTTTTGGGTTCCCTTAGTGAAGAAAAAAAAAGTCATCTAACACAGAGGCCCCCAACCTTTTGAGCACCAGGGACCAGTTCTGTGGAGAGAAGTTTTTCCATGGACTGGAGGGGGTTTGGTTTTGTGTACTGGCTGCATCCCGCGGATGGATCTTCGCTTGTTTGCGCGGACCGATTGCTGGCATGCCACGGCCCGGTTCCAGTCCATGGGCCGGGGGTTGGGGACCCCTGATCTAATAGATCTTAGAAAGTATGCTTTGTCTATCATGATGCCTGTCCTTTGGAACAACTCCTCCTCTAGACTCGAGCTATGGAGAATCCTAATTTTACTTGGCTTTTGGAAGGTTATGAAGACCTGGCTCTTTCCTCAGGCACTAAGGCTCAGATGTTAATTTATTGAAGTTTGGTGTATATAGGCCGTAGGGCAGTGGTGGCGAACCTATGGCACACGTGCCAGTGGTGGCACTCAGAGCCCTCTCTGTTGGCACGTGCGCCACTGCCGCCAGCAGCAGGTCCATCAGGCTGCCACCGCCGCCCGGAGCAGGAGCCCCGCCCAGCACAAAGGAGGCAAAGCGGCCGACTAGCAAGCTTGAGTAGAAGTGGTAGAGCAGAGGTCACCAACCATTGATGATTGGTGGGCTGGAAGAAAAGGGAGGGGGAAGCATTTTACATGTGTGCATGCGTACATAGGGCCGCAAGCACGCATGTGCTGCAAATGGGGCAGGGCCAGTGCCCCTGTTCTTGCATGGTGCAGCACCTTGTATCTGCATCCCGTAGTGCGGTGGTGGCCATTTTTGCTTCTTGCAGCATGGTGACCAATTTTTGCGCCTCTGGTTTTTGCGTGCCAGAGGTGGCACTCAGAGATGCCTCCCTGCCCCCCCCCCCGAGGGCACTACAATGCTGATGAGGCCCTGACACTTTGTGATAAATAACAGGGTTTTGGGTTGCGGTTTAGGCACTCGGTCTCTAAAAGATTCGCCATCACTGCTGTAGGGGAAACTGTTATTTTTTTTATAGGGGCTGCAACTTCGGTTTTGTTTGTGTTTCTAATAGTAATTTTTGTTAGGCTTGCTAGCCAGTTTCTTTGGACAGATGGACAGATGTAGACATTTCATTAATCTGTCAGTCAATAATCATGTTCTTGCTATTAAATAGTTGCATTTCTCCATATCAAATCTCTGTTTTTTAATAAATATACATTTTTGAGAACGCTCACTTTCCTGTTGTAGAATGTCCACTTCTATGTTGGTCATACAGAAACTGCAATCTGCATCTGATAATGTTTTGAGAAATTTAATCAATTGAGTGTGTTTATGTTGTTAAGTGAGACATTTGTGAAGTGAGTTTTGCTCCATTTTATGACCTTTCTTGCCACAGCTGCTAAGTGAATCGCTGCAGTTGTTAAGTTAATAATATAGTTGTTAAATGAATCCAGGTTCACCCTGGACTCTACTTGTCAGAAGGTCACAAAAGGTGATCACATGACCCCAGGACACGGCAACCATTATAAAAGTGAGTCGGTTGCTAACAGGCTGAATTTTGATCATGTGACCATGGGATGCTACAACAGTCATAAATGTGAAAAATGGTCATGAGTCACTTTTAGTGCCATTATAACTTTGAATGGCCATTAAACGAACTGTTGTAAGTCAAGGATTACCTGTAGATAATTGCATGAATAAACTATAATTAGCATCAATATTATATCCTTTCAGAAAAAATAATAAAGATTTTTCTCCTTAGAAGCTGACAATGAAGATGCGATAAATGACAGAAAACACTGGCAAATCTCAACTCCACAGACACTATTGAATCACTTAGAAAATGTAGATACCACATCTGTATGGAATACTATGGATAAAGGTGACCTTTCTGAAATATTTTGCTTTGTTTTAAATAGAATTTGTTTGTTATATCTTAAGAAATGGAATGCAGTGGACCTTAGGTTTCCATTCTGATCTGAGCTATTATTTCAGTAGTTTTCAAGCTATAAGAGTTGTGGTGGCACAGTATTGCATGCATGCAGTATTGCAGGCTAACTCTGCCGACTGCCAGCAGCTTGATCCTGATAGGGCTCAAGGTTGACTCAGCCTTCCAGATTGTTGAGGGCAATATAGACTCTAGAAAGAGTACAGAGAAGAGCAACAAAGATGATTAGGGGACTGGAGGCTAAAACATATAAGGAACGGTTGCTGGAATTGGGTATGTCTAGTTTAACAAAGAGAAGGACGAGGGGGGACATGATAGCAGTGTTCCAATATCTCAGGGGCTGCCACAAAGAAGAGGGAGTCAAGCTATTCTCCAAAGCACATGAGGGCAGGACAAGAAGCAATGGGTGAAAACTAATCAAAGAGAGAAGCAACCTAGAACTAAGGAGAAACTTCCTGACAGTTAGAACACTTAACCAGTGGAACAACCTGCCTCCAGAAGCGGTGAATGCTCCAACACTGGAAGTTTTTAAGAAGAGATTGGACAGTCATTTATCCAAAATGGTATAAAGTTTCCTGCCTGAGCAGGGGGTTGGACTAGATGACCTCCAAGGTCCCTTCCAACTTTTTATTATTATTATTATTATTATTATTATTATTATTATTATTATTATTATTATTATTATTATTATTATTATTATTATTATTATTATTATGCTGATTCTGTAAACTGCTCAGAGAGTAAAGCACTGTGAGGCGGTATATAAGTCTTAAGTGCCTTTCTATAAAGTAAGGCATCCTTTAAAAACGATATTGACAACATGTTCATTGTGTCTCCTGATTATTCCCAACTCAATATGTTTGCTTTTTAAATTCTATTGCTTCAAAAATATAATCCAAAAAAATATAAAACAATATTTTATTACATCATATTCTGCCCACTTTATAGTCAGACTAAAGCACAAAAGCAGACAATACAGCCTAATAATGATACAAACTAATTTAGGAAAAAATAGTTTGATAATAGCTGTGATAGAGTACCCATGAGAACAAGCGTAGAAGTATGAAATTTGTCACTCAGTGATAAAAAGTATCCTTTTCTCACTGGCAAAGAGGAGAAATAAAACAATTTTATCTACCTCCTACTTTTCCATGGGCACCTTTGCTCTCCCAAACGTCCGTTACAAAGATTTGTGGAATTCGGTCGAACAATATGACTAAGAGCTCCAATGAGAGAGAAAGTTATTACAAATTGTTCCTTCAGGCAGAATATTTCTATGATTGAAATAGAATTTATAGTATTTCAGCATTCTAGATAGAACTCCTCTTTGAGAGTCCTGCTCCTGGTGCAAGGAGACACTGAATCCGGTCCAGGGCCCAACAATTCTGCATAACACAAAATGGCTGACGTCAGTAGTACTTCTGTCTCCAGTGTTGCTGTTCTACACATGGCTTCTTGAATTATTGATGTGGTTCTGCACAGCCTAGATAATTGGTTTTGTCTCATCAACAAATTAATGTTCTAATAATAATAATAATAATAAAGTTGGAAGGGGCCTTGGAGGTCATCTAGTCCAACCCCCTGCTCAGGCAGGAAACCCTATACCATTTCAGACAAATGGCTGTCTAGTCTCTTCTTAAAAACTTCCAGTGTTGGAGCATTCACCGCTTCTGGAGGCAGGTTGTTCCACTGGTTAATTGTTCTGTCAGGAAGTTTCTCCTTAGTTCTAGATTGCTTCTCTCCTTGATTAGTTTCCACCCGTTGCTTCTTGTCCTGCCTTCAGGCGCTTTGGAAAATAGCTTGACTCCCTCTTCTTTGTGGCAGCCCCTGAGATATGGGAACACTGCTATCGTGTCCCCCCTCGTCCTTCTCTTCATTAAACTAGACATACCCAATTCCAGCAACCGTTTCTCATATGTTTTAGCCTCCAGTCCCCTAATCATCTTTGTTGCTCTTCTCTGTACTTTTTTAGAGCATCAACATTAAGCAGGTCACCATGTGAGCAGACTCCGTTTTATGTCTGTTTTTACAATGGTCATAAAGCAAATCACTGTAGCCTTTAAAGGAAGCACATAGTGAAGTAAACCACTTGATCGTTAAGCAGATTCAGCAAAATATTGCAAATTAGTCAGATGACTGTGGGACACAGCAACCCGTCATAAATACAAGCTGGCTGCCAAGCATTCGAAATGCGATCATGTGACCATAAGGGGAGGTTATGACAGTTATAACTTCAAGGTTGGATCATAAGTAATTTTGAATCTGTCATCTGGACTGCATTTCCTACGCGAAGGACTCTTGGCAAGGGATGGGCTGCACCTCTCGAAAACAGAGGAACATGTACTCGGAAAAAGACTGGCCCAACTCATCAGGAGGGCTTTAAACTAAAATTGAGGGGGGAGGGTGGCCAATCTTCAGAATCTCTAGAACCTAAAACCAATCATAGCATAAGTGATCAATTATTAAGTTAGGACAGGTAATTTTGATTGGAGGATAATTCAGTAATTTCCAGGATTGAAATAAGGGAGAGATGGGAGAAAAATGGAAATGGATCACAAAGAGGATCAAATCTATATTAATATTTTTATCAAAATACAGGTGGTCCTTGACTTATGACCACAACTGAGCTCAAAATTTCCATTGCTAAGACAGTTGCTAAGTGAATTCTACCCCATTTTTATGACCATACTTCTCACAATTGTAAAGTAATTCACTGCAGTTAAGTTAGTAACATGGTTGTGAGGTGAATCTGGCTACCCCATTGACTTTGCTTGTGATCACCTGACACTGGAACACTGCAACCATCATAAATATATGCCAGTTGCTAAGTGTCCAAATTTTTATCACATGACCACAGGGATGCTGTAATGATTGTAAGTGTGAAAATCATCATAAGTAACTTTTTTCAGTGTCGTATACCTGTCAAGGATTACCTGTATAAGGAAGATAACATTTTCCCCCTCAGCTGGCCAGGTAAATGAAATACAATCTGAGTTCCCTGAAATTAGGAAAAAATGGAGCCCAAGATTACCAAGTACTCTAATGAATATGTTAGCAGAAGCAGAATGTACCAGTGACACCTTGTGCCAAACTGAAGAACATAGTAAGTTGTTTTTTGCATCTTTTATTATTTGAAGTTAATGTTGAATTTTTATTTAACAATTAGTGCAATAAATAAGGATATATCTGCATAACAGGTTGAACTAGACCAGGGGTAGGCAACCTTGGCTCTTTTATGACTCGTGGGACTTCAACTCCCAGAATTCCTGAACCAGCATGGCTGGCTCAGGAATTCTGGGAGTTGAAGTCACGAGTCATAAAAGAGCCAAGGTTGCCTACCCCTGCATTAGACTAAAACTAGAGTGGCATCTACGATTTGTATCCACTGGTGTCCACGTACAGGTGGAAAAGTGGAATAGATATTTCTTCCATTATTTCCTCACTTCCCCAATTTCTGCTGCAGTGTCCTAGGCTAGGGGATTATGTAGAATATATTTGGAATATTCCAAGAAGGAAAGAGGAAGATTGTGCACAGGGAAGTAAATGTGCATAACCCTCATCCTAAGAGAGATTATTCTAAGAGGATAAGAGGAATAAATATAAAGAATTAAATTAATAAAAAATATGACAGGAATATATCTAAATACTGTAAAAGTAATTTCTAAATGTTATGTGCATGGAAAGATTATAAAAGTCACCTTAATAAAAATGAAATCAAAATCATTTGCCTGCTTGTAAGCAACAAGGTAAATGATAATGTTACAAAGTATAACAATAATATACCCCACATTAATTACAATGATGATGTAACTTTAAACCAGCAATATTTACTTGAGTTTTTACATGAGGCGGCAGCCTTATTTTCTTATATATTTTTGCATTCTATTAGAATGATCAATTCTTCATAATGGGATTTTTTTTATATATGCAAGAGAGTGAATCACCAATCATTAGGCCATATAATTAACTTACTTAAAAACATTCACTTTTTAGAGAAAAGATATTTTGTTGATAACATCCTTTTAATTTTTCATCTCACTTTTTCTGGGACTTAAGTTCCATGGAAGCTATTGATGCTTCTTTCTAAGTAATTAGATAGTCATACTAAATGGAATAAATGGACGAATCACTAAAACTGGTTAGGAATTTCAGATTCTTATGTAACCAATAAGCAACACAGTCACTTTCACAATTTTTTGGAGATAGCAAGTGACAGAAAATAGAAGCTAATGTGTATACTGTGTTGACAAACAATTTTAATAGCTTACTAAATACAGGTTAGATAGATGTTGAAACATTAACTCAAGTATGAATATATCAAATATTTTCCCAAGAGTTAAAAGCTAAGACCTTTTGTTTAGGAACAACAGGTTTCAATTAAGACTGAGCAGAGTCAGTCCTGACAGGTCAGCAATGGAAATATTACATTCAAAGTTAAAGATAAAACTGCCAATTTACACAAAAATTGGATTCACTTGTCAGCTTAAGCCATGTTTGGTTTTAAGTGTATTGTGTGAGCTCTGCCACTTTAGTTTGTAAATTATATAAGCCACGATTTATTGTTTAGTCAGTTGTGGGATATTCAACAAATCAAATTTAAGCACATAATACTTTAGCAAAGCAAGAATCAGATGAAATAAGGAGTACATTTACATAAAATTAGTATAGACTTGTGAATATGAAAGCAGCCCTCCATCCTACTCTATAGAACTTTTATTTTTAATACAATATATTTTTGGTATTAGTTCAAGCTATCTTGGTACATTTCATGAAATGGTAATGAAACTTGGTATATGAAATAACTATGAAATGAAAATACTATTCTTTCAGAAGAAACAATAAATCAGGGGATTCCAGAATCTATTAAAGATGCTCCAGGAGTTAATTTGGTTGCTAACCCAGATGAAAGTAAACTTGATCCAAGATCGGATGATGAAGATACGTAAGTTATTACAACAGCTGGATGTATAACTTGGCCCTTTGAAAAGCTGTTCATACAATCTTTTGTTCAGCACACATTTTTTAACTAACAGCCTAGATTTTAATATCTGTACAAGTATACAAAAGCTGAGAATGACAATCATGTCAAATACATGTATTGAAAGAAAACAATAAATTAAAATACTGTCAATCAGAAACAAGTTTGCTCTGCATATCTAAAAAGTAATGGAAAGAGTCTATCAGCCCACCCACAACTGAACTCATGAATAAATTGATGATTGAATCAATAGATAGGTGATTAGTAAGCTGTTGTGATGGGTTAAATGTTGCAGTTATGTAATCAATTCCCAATTGCAGCATTCAAAATTAATTGTATGAATGGGCTTATAAAACAGTACACTGCACATAGATAATTCATCTAGATAATAAATTCCACTAAGATAACAAGGAGCTTGCATGCCCATCGTTGGGTTTATTAGCTGGCTGGAATTGTGTGGAGCTATGAATTTGCATAACTAAAGGCCCTCACAGTGACACTATCACTCTAGTTTTCTATTTACAATGGATTCAAATATATACACCAATAATAGACTGCTATAGAGATGTGATATTGTTTATTTAATGGATCTATGAGAGCATGTATTTGTATAAATATCATTTTGACACTTCTGCCCAAATCATAATCCTTTCAGATTCTGCATACAATAAAGCCTGTTATATAGATGTTATGTACTAGATGTACCATCTAGTACTCAGAAGTGCTACCCTCTTTGCAAACGTAGCGTTTTGATAATTTAATAAAAACAGAACACTATTTTTTTGTCTTGTCCAGAAACTTTGAAGAATCTGAAGATGAACTGAGAGATGAGCTAGTGGAATCTTTAGAAAATGTGGTAACATCTCTAGAGGAGGAAATTTCAAAAAGTCCAGTTGAATCGGCAAACATGGAACAACAAAAACAATCTACAGACGATAGCAAACTTAGCAAATCTAATGACAGTTTCGAAAATAATAATGACTTGGCTGGAGAAAAACAAAGTGCAATCAGTTAACACATTCTTGGGTAATAAATACTTAAGAATTAATAATAACCAATTGTATACATGTTAAGACCAGAGTTTAGAAAGTGGGTGCTTAATATTTTCGATATAAATTTTACACAGTAGCCTAGTATACCAAAGTAAAAATCTCTAGAGCTGGAATTCTTCTCTCTTGGTTTGTATATTATTATTATTATTATTATTCCAATTTGTATCCCGCCCTTCTCCCGAAGGACTCAGGGCGGCTCACAACATTATTAAAACAAAGAGAGACCCACACACCCCACCGAATAAAACCAAATTAAAACCAAAATTGTAGTGTTGTGTGATTAAAATTTCTAAAAAACCCAATTTAAAAATCCTCCCTAGGCCAGGCCCGCTTGTTGGAAAAGCCATGTCTTGAGGGCGCGGCGGAAAGTAAGGAGATCCGGAATAATCCGGATCTCGGGGGGTAGTTCGTTCCAGAGGGCAGGGGCACCCACAGAGAAGGCCCTCCCCCTGGGGGTCGCCAGCCG